TGCCAACTTGTTTGCCAATTCTTTTACTTCTTCATCCCTCCGTAGGCACCTATCCCTCCATACTTGGAGGTCATCTTCGTTATAGTACTTGCTTTGGTCTGTCTTGTTCGAAGTGTCGCCCTCCTGGCCGACGTCTTTCTCTCCGTGGCCCTGGTCATAAGTTTCTGCATTGTGGTTGTCTCCTTCGATATCAAGGTCAATTGGTCTGCCACTCCCAGTAGGAGTGTCGTCCCTAATCTTTTCCTTCTGTCCGTTACTGGCCATCTATTCTTCTACTTTCCCACAGACGGCGCCAAATTGTATGAGTGATTTTCAGATCACACTGCCCGTTTAGTAATCAGCTAGAGAGCACCGGCAGAATAGATAGCTTCAGTTAACCTGTAACAGAAAGAAAAGGCTCCGGCGGTGGCTCTTCCACCCGGGGGCACTTCGACGATCAAGTCAGTATATCTCTTAAAGATAATCAAGTGCTAAACTCACTGCTCAAAGCATAAATTGCGTACCTTAGACCCACGGGGGTGCCTCTCTTTTATAGTTTACTCAATCCTAGTCCTACTAGAAGCCTGACTTCTATGGATTCCAACTCAATACTTAATTTGGACTCTTCAAGAGATAAAGATAAATTTCCAAAGAGCTTTATCCTCATCTTGACTAAGTCTCCACTTCATTTTAGGACTCTTGTCCCTTATCCGTTTATCTCAGATTCCGATATCTTCGGAGATAACCTCGGCAACGCCAAAATAATCTCGGCATAATGACCAGGACACGTGGCACCTCGGCTGACACATCGGCGTCACCTTGCCACGTGTTGGTACTCAAAAATATATCCCCACAGTGGTGATGATGATATTCCCAGGATGCTTGTTCCCAAGTTTAGTCCTCTCGTGATCAACCTTGATGAGAAGATTTATGTTCTGGCGAGACGACCATCTTGTAAATACGATAAACCACTTGAGCTGCCTGTTTTCGAGGTTTTTGATCCCCTCCTCAAATCCTGGAAAGCCCTCCCTCATCCCCCCTGGACAGACCCTGCCCAATTTAAAATAGGTAGTGATTATATGCATCACCACTTTGTTTGGGCTCACAAGATCGTCTGTTGCATCATTGCTGGTTTCTTCATTTTTGACACTCGTATGGAGAAATGGGAGTTCACTGAAAAGCGCTTATACCCTATCCCTATGATCTCCTGTGCTGCAGCTGAATTCAATGGGTTTTTAGTCGCCATGCCATAGGACCTTCAACAGCTCAGTATTTATCAGTTGGATTCCGATGGGATTCCCAAGTCTTATCGCGTACTACACGAGCTTTATAGTGTGTTCAATCCACCTTTTGTTCGATACCATTTCCAGGGCTTTCTCACCCATTTGGGCGATGATGTTGATGGTGGTGGCCATAAAATGTGTTTGTTGTATGCTGGCTTGGATCATTGTAATACGTGGTATGCACGTGTAGCAATCTTTCGGGTTATATTATCATGTAATGATGCTGGTGATCTGTACCCCCATGCATATCTCGAAACCGTGGAAGTTTATAATTTAGAGAAATTTGATGGGTTGTTCGTTTATATTTATGATGATGATGATGATGATTTCCTATTATTTTAGAGGGAATTACAATTTAGTGTGATAGATCAAAAGTAATTGAGGGGGTGGGGGTTTCTTGCACAAGGAGAGTTGCATCCAATTACCCACTTGTCCGTCAATACTATTATGACTTTGACTTAAGGTCAATTTAATTAATGTTTGTTTGCCTTCCTGCTGTGTTATGGTGTTCATTGTTTAGTCTATGAATTTGAACTTTATGCCCAAAGTAGCTTGGGTAGGTTCAGCAATGGAATAAATTATGTGCTACATCACTGTTGTAATAAGCATTGTCTGGTTCAGTCGATGCCGAATCACATCTATGAGTGCAATTTTGAGAGAATTTTGTCACTTTATTAATAGTTAGTTTATTTATGTGTTTTAGTAAATTGTGATTTAAAGCTACTCTTTCTGGAATGAACTCTCTCTGTTAACTGTAGAAGCTTCATAGTTCACACTACAGTATTGCTAAGCCTCTTTCTATGAAGTATCAACTTCATTATAGCTGCAAGATTTTGTTGTGAAGGTAGCAGGTATGTGAAAGTTGAGGATAGAATATAACTCTCTGTCATATTTAGGAAATCATTTAGATGAAAGTTAATAGCTGCATTAGGTGCTTTTGGAAAGTGTTGGTATCTTTTTTGTCCCTGGTATTTTTGCCTCCTGTTTTAGTATAAACACACAGGGAAACTTGAATTATTTGAATTTGTTCTATCAGGTTTGAGCACTTTATCTATAGAGCTTACAGCATGTGAAGCTGCATAGCAATTTTGATAAACCTAAAGGCTAAAGTAGTTCTGTTTGAAGACAATGTATGGAATTCATTTTGTTGTAGTTTTACTTGTCAATGCTAATATTCAACCTTCTTTTCATTTTGCTTTGTTTGCTCTCTCTTAGCATCTAACTTGATGAGCAATGAGACTTTTTTTTTTGGTGTTGATAGGTATGATTATTTGAACAACCATGATGTGGAGGCTGACGCAAGTTTCATGGATGAAAATCTTTTTGGATTAGATAGGTATGTGCTCTGTTGATTGCATATAATGATAACTTTCTGTGTTATTAGATTCCATTGTGAATTGCAGAATAATTTTTCGAGTGTGTGATGTTTTTGTATTATGTTAATATTTATATATTGTGGCATTGCTCATGCATGAATTGAACTGTATGACAAAATAGATTAATGACGCATTACCTCCCTAATGTTTGGAATCATACACACAAAATACTTTCGTGTAGAAATTGTTTCCCTCCAAACTTGCCTTTTTAATGACAAAAATGCCCATCTAGATAAGCCCTTATTCTTCTTTGAATCATTGACAATGGTACTGGATTGTTGAAATTTTAGACAATTTAATTTTTTCCCCAAATGTTATAGCCTTTTAGTGGGTTTTTGGCAAAAAGACCACAATAGTTATGAGTATTTGTGAAGCTGTGAACGCATAGAAAAAGGTTATATTCTTGTATTTTTTGGTTTCCAATACCATGGGGTATGCTGACCCCACTGATGTAAGGGTGGATGTCTCTGATGGTGTGTATGCTTGTATGTTATTTATGCTTGAAATGTGCAGAAATCTTAGAAGCATGGATACAGACATAGACATGCGGACACGCAAATTTTTAAAAAAATGCAGGACAAGATACGTTAGGGACACGTGCAAAACATATAATTTTATATATTTATTATATGTCATATTTTTAAATATTTAATATCTATTTTATATCAAATATTTAATTTTATCAAATTTATCAACGTTTGGTATGCTACTTTAGTAAAATAAATTAAAATTTTATTTTATTTTATTTTTTTAAAATGGTTCTCAACGTGTCCCCAGGGTGTCCCAAACGTGTCCCAAGTGTCTCAGCATGTCTGATTCTATACGGTGTGTCCGACACTTGTTCAGAGCATGTCCTTGTCCGACACGTGTCAAACACTTGTACATCACCTCAGGAGAAGTGTTCGTGCTTCATAGGCAGAAATCCAAAAATATTCTTTAATGCACAAACCATTACTACACAAACTTTTTATTCGTCAAAGTATAATACCTATGTTACATGGACTTGGGTATGGGTGTCGAGTGTTGGTGCATATCTATCTAGAGGTCAAACTCATCAAATCTGAAATTTAAAGGTACACAAACTCAGCAAAAAAAAGTCATATTTTTATATTTTATTCTATTATGTGGATAAAATGGTACTTAATGTAACATACGGCGTCAAAAAGGTGTTTTATAGCAATTACACAACAAATGATACACGTAAGATAGTGTTAAATACAAATATATGAGAAGTGTCCAATAGAAAGTATCAGATACATATCCCACACCCTTGTCTGATTGTCGAGTGTCCGACACGGATATTTGATTTATTTTGAAAAGTCAATGTAACATAGCCCAAATACTGTAGACCATTCATGCACTAGAACTTATCATAGTCATCAAGTTTGTCTGTAAGCATTAACATATAAGAAGTGCTTTAAGATGGGCTCATGTTAACATCAAAAGATTATACTTAGAAAATATATTATTTACAAATTTCCTCTCTTTCCATACTCCAAAAATATAACCATGTTATAGTGTGACATAAGCTTGACTAGCAAAAAAAATCCACTTTTAATCCTCCAACAAGCTAGCCTTTCCAAGGTGAGGCGAGTCACTCTAAAAACCTAAATATTTGAACAGAACAACATAAAAAGAATGATTTTCCCCAGTGTTTTTAAAGGCTCAAGGCATACTAAAGTGTTGAAGGTCTCTCGAGGCATAGGCGCAAGGCGCAAGGAGAGGCGTGGGCTTTATTGAAGTAAGGCGTACAGTCTTAGTAAAAAATAGAAAAATTAACATAGACTAATCATTCATAGTACTAAGACAATTTTTTTTTAAAAATAAAAGTAATCAAGATTTAAGACAAATTATAGAATAATCAAAGCCATAAAAGTGCATATAATACATAGCATTCCAATTTTCAAAGATAAAATAATCCACATTCAATAAAATAAAAATAAATATAAACACTAAACATCCAAAACATAAATATCCAACAAATATTAATATATCTTAACACTTAAAAACATCAATGTCATAAGAAAGGGTAGGTTAGGTCAGTCAGTCAATCATCATCCTCAACATCAATGGCAAGCAAACTATCATCTTATTCTCCATCAGTTGATTTATATCCCTCAACACCTTCCTCTGTGTCATTTGAGCGTGCTTTGTCTTCATCTATTAATTGAAGTGGAGTTAATCTTGATGATTTAGATATCCTCGGTTGCGCCTTTGAGCATGAACTTGTTGCTCTACTTGCATGGCTACTTTCTTCTACTCCAGAAGCTCTAGCAACAGTGGCCCACATCAAGCCATCATCATCATCATCGAACATTGGCTCATTATCTTCATTTGATTCTTCATCCATCATCCCAAGCAATCACTCATTGCTTTCATCAATATTTTGCAAAGATATGGGATCAAGAGTGTTGTGCATGTCATACCTAAATCTCAATGTTCTATTATATTTGACAAACACTAAATCATTGAGACGTTGTTCCAATCTATTTCTTTTCTTGCTATGAAGCTGTAAGTATTAAAAAGATATTAAATTCTATATAATGAGAATAAAAAATATTTGAATTCAACATAAAAATTAGTTAAAATGTTAAATACTCACATATTCAAATACACTCCAATTTCGTTCACAACCCGATGAACTACATGATAGGCTAAGGACTTTTATGGCAAAAGTTTGCAAGTTTGGGGTTTTAGGACCATATGATGCCCCACCAATCAGTTACGATAATCACTAGTTAGAAATAATTGTTACCAAGTATTTAGTTTTACTAAAAGTATTACTAAAAATAAACTCTGAGTCTATAATATATTACTTGGTGCTCTTGTATTTCTTTGCCTAATCGCAATAGGCTTGCCAAGAAGGCTTTCAGCCTTCGTATAAATACTTATTTCATTAGTGATCAAATCTTGAATAGTGACATCTGGGACCAACCTTTGCATGCATTCATAAAACACATTCATCACTTCATGATCTTTTTGCACCTCTAATGCTTTTGGGTAAAAGAATTCTGGGTTAAGAAAGTGCGCAGCTGCATGTAAAGGCCGATGCAATTGGACATCCCATCTTTTGTCGATGATTTTGAAGATTTCATTATACTTCTCTTCTTTATGATCAAATGAACTTGCAATGCATTCTTTTGCCCTATCCATTGCCTCATAAATGTATCCTATGGGAGGTTTTTTCTCGGTATCAACCAATCTAAGCATTTTGACGAGAGGACCCAAGACCTTAACGGCAAATACAACAGTATTCCAAAATGAAAGCATCAACAAAGTTTGTGCCATTCTTTTGCCTTGTGGCTCCTTTGCCCATTTGCTTGAGGCCCAGTCTTCGTAGGTGACCATCTTTCTCAAATTTTTTTTTTTGTTGATGCATCCTAGACAAAGTCAGAAAGACGGTTGCAAATCTAGTTTTTGCAGGCTTTTTTAAATTCTTCCGATTTGTATAGCTCCTCATCGTGTTTAGCAATGTAGGCCGGTTGTAAATATAGCCATGTACTGCAATATCCCTTTCAAATGTCTTTTTCAGACGAGGTATCTTGAAAATGTCTTCTGACATCAAGTCCAAGCAATGAACAGCACATGGTGTCCAATACAAGTGTTCATATTTGGCTTTCAAAAACCTCCTTATAGTGTAACAATTATGAAGAATTATTATTTTCAAGTTTTTAAATTTTAAATACAAAACAAACTATGAGTAAACAATTTTGATGTAAGAAAGGAAGAAATATTTTTACCCTCCAGCATATTAGCTGCAACACTATTAGTGATAACTTGCACCACATTCTCTTTTCCAACTTTCTCCACGAACTTGTCTAGTAATTCAAATAGCTTCTGCCCATCCTTTGAATAGCTAGAAGCATCAACCGACTCAACAAACATGGTTCCTCTTGGACAATTAACTAAAAAGTTAATCAATGTTCTTCCTCTCTTATCAATCCAGCCATCAGCCATTATGGAACACCCGTATTTTGCACAATCCTCTTTATGATTTTTCATCAAATCTTCAGTATATTTCACCTCTTTTCTGAGTTGGGTAACTTGCACTTCATGGTAAGTTGGTGGCTTCATACCGAGACCATATTGCCCAATGGCTTCAATCATTGGTCTAAAACTCACATAATTTACTGCATTAAAAGTGATACTAGCATCATACATTCACCTTGCAAATGTTTGTACTGCCCGAGCTCTCATTTCTTTTTTGTAAGAGTCATTCACATCAATTTTGGTTTGCTTCCCTTTTTGTTGGTCTCTGCGATTTTTCACCACTGATTCAGGATTGGGTGTGAAGTAAACATCCATAGACCCTTTTCTCTTTGCCATTTTTGATTTGGATTTGGATTTGGATGAACCTTGGCTGCTACTTGTCTACTTACGGCGTTGATTGACATTGATCTCAACAACATCTTCATCTTTAACTTCATCTTCCATGTCCATGTCATCGAAATCAGGCAACATGTTTATTTCTTCTTTTTGTGTCTTATTTTTTGACATAAACTCTCTAATCTCTTCTCTTACATGAGCTGGACACTTCGTGCAAGCAGTGACATTCCTATAACCTCCTGCAAGGTGTTGTTTCACCCGATAAACACCTCCATTTGATACTTCACCACAAAAATTACACTCACAACTTGTTTAAATTATTCTCCTCTACCAAATGGGCGTGTTGCCACACCGGATCTTTTCTATTACTTTCAGATGTCATTTTCTACTTAGTACTTACTACACAACACAAAAAATAAATGAAAGAAAAATAATTTCAATATAATGAAATAATGTATGTGATGAATTAATTATTTGTATTATTTTTTTTTAATAGAGACTCAACTCAAAACAAAGGGAAAAAAGAAAAAAGAAAAAGAACAGGGAGCAAACTAGCAGAATAAGAAAAAGAAAAGAAGCAGAATAAAGAAGAAAAAAAAAAACAAAGAAATTTCACCCAGCAACTAGCAACGAAGAAGGGAAAGAAAGAGGAGGAAGAGGAGAGGAAAAAAAATTCACCCAGCAACAAGCACAACCAGTGAAAAAAATAATAATAATAAAAAACCAACGAAGCAGCAGAGAAGAAGAAGAAGAATTCACCCAACCCAACCTAGCAACCAGCGAGTGAACGAAAAAAAAAAAAGCAGACAGGGGTTTGAACAGCAAAGAAAAAAAAAATTGTCGACAGAGGTTCGAATGATGATAAAGAAGAAGAAGAAGAAGAGTACCTGGTTCAAGAGCCCAGTCGAAGGAGTCGAAGGAAGATCATAGTTGAAGTTGACACAAATTAGGGATTTGATTTGAGTCGTATTCTCATTTGGGTTGTATTGTATTGTATGAGTTGTAATTGTATGTGTTGGAGCATTTTGGAACACAATTTTGAGCCGTCAGATCTGAATAAGGAAGAAAAACAAAAGCCTGCCTAGGCGCGAGCCTTGTGCCTTGCTGCGCCTCTCCCAATCGCATTCAAGGCGCGCAACTGTTATACTGCGCCTCGCCTTGGCCTTCTTAAGTCGCGCCGACTGTGCCTCGTTGCGCCTAGTGCCTAGGCACGCTTTTCACAGCACTAAGTTTCCCAATGAATTTATGTCGTGGGGGAACCATAAAATCTGTACTTGTGTAGTGGCGTAAATAGGAAAAAATAATATGACATAAGAAACATTGAAGAGAAACTAGTACACTAGTCATTTGCATAATTATTAATTTATGACTTCTCAAGGAATATCAAGTTGCAGTAAAATTCATTAGAATCAATGAGGTACCAAAGTTAATTACTTTCTATAACATTCACAACCTTGTACCCATCGTGTAATCTGTTACATAGCCATGGGGTGTCGAGTTACATTGTGACTAAGGTGGTGATGGCATCATTATCAAGCCAAATCATAAACCAAGTCATCATAGCTTATCGAACCTAGTGGCTCATCTCGTTTTCAATGTTTCGGTTCCTTAGACCCCTTTGTATACATTGGCCCATGTGGCTGTTTAACATTGCAATCCCTAGTACTCCAAAGCATTGTGGTAATTCTGAATTTTATTAGACAAACATTCATTTATTTTAATCTAGTTCTTGATCCCAAGTAAGTCTAAAAGTCACTAAACCATTTTTTTTGATCGGCTAAAAGTCACTAAACCATGCTAATAATATTTCTATAATTTATATGAAAAAAGTTCTCTTCTTTCTAAAACATTTTATTTCTCGTCCTCTTTTTCTTGCAATGTTCTTGGGGTTCTTCTCTCCCTTTTATTTCAAGACCTTTGAGGAATATCAGTTTGTAGTAAAATTCATTTGTTTTAAAGCACCAAAAATTAATTACTGAGTGCTCAAACTTATTTACTTTCCATCACATTCACAACCTGGTACCCATTGTGTAATCCACTACTTAGCCATAAGGTTGCATTACCTTGCGATTGGTGGTAACGGTTTCGTCACCTAATAGCATATTTGGTTAAATCATAATCCAATCCAAATCATCATGGCATATCAACCTTAGCCCCCCTTTCAATAATTGTGTCCCGAGGACCCATTCAAAGGGGTGGGCATCGGTTGGCTGGCTGGGTCGGGCTAGACTTGCACTACCTAACAAGGGACTGTGTTTGCCTAAACCTGCACTTTGAAGAGTAGGCCTATTTAGTCATCCCAAGCACAACCATAAATAAAAAAACAATTCTTAAGCCTGCCCACTTAGTCCATATACAAAGGTTGTTGCTTATTTTTTATTATTTTTTTAACTTTTTTACAGAAGGATTTTTTTTTAAAAAAAACTTCCAATTCAACATTCCAAAGTACTCTAGTAATGTATATAAATATATTCATAAGCGTAGATCAATAGTGTTGTTTGAGCCCAAAAAAAGAAATGTTTTCTGTATATATAAATAATAAAATATTAAATAAATATATTAGTTTTGGACTGGGCTGAGCGGGCTGATGCTGACCCCTACCCCTTCATATACATTGGCCCATGTGACCCTTTGACATTAAGTATGTCGACCCTTTGTGGCCCGATACTGTTGTGTTTGGGTTTAAGCTGAACAAACATGGCAAGAGAACTTTTTCTTGTTATTTTTAATATTATCAATTACTAATTTGAAAGTTTACAACTTAAACTCATTTTCATGATAACTTTGAACTTCCTAGGCAAGCATTCATTTATTTTAATATTGTTCTTGACCTCAAGTTCGAAAGTTTACTAAAGCATTCCAATAACATTTCTATAAATACATAAATAAACCAATCACTTTTCGACATAAAACATTTTGAGTTTTGTATTTAAATAAAACATATATAGGGTAAATTATACTAGCCTCCCCTAAGGTTTCTGATATATTCAAATACCTCCCTTGAGGTTTCTGAAATGACAGAAACCTCTCCAATCATATTTGTCACATGAACGCTGTTAACTGATGATGGCATTTTACTTATTTACCATTAGGTTGACTCACCATGGTAACCACAAAACCTCACTGTCACTGGTCTATTCCTTACTAGCCCAAACAAAGTCACTGCCATGACAATAATAACCAAAGGTACCATCATTGATGTCGACCACCACAGTTCCACCATCGGCCACTTCCTGAAACCACCACTCCTTCCCCCACACAGTTACATCACCTTATATTTTTCAATGTCATCATATTTACCAATCTAATATCAATCTTGGTTCCGCGGTGAACTACTTGAAACAACCCAACCACCTTGAGCAAGCCACATTTGTTACCATGAAATAGATGAGACAATTGAATTTTTTTATGTTTTATTTTTGAAACTCGAAATGTAATTTAATGGAAAATTACAAATCAGTTCAAGACAAAAAAAAATTAAACCAAATCAAATATGTGCTTAATGTTGATTGTGAAAAACATTCTGCCAAAACATTTCATTAAACTGTGGTTATTTATATGTTTAAAATGGTAGAGAGAGAGACTAGGTTTATTTGTATAAGGTTGCTTTTGCGCGCGCGCACACGCATATATATGCATGTATGTATAACCTTGAAGTAGATAATTTTTAGAATATAGATAGAGAGAGAGAGAGGAGTGGAAGCTGTTGTCATTCTGGTCAATGTTGGTGGCAACGCTTCCTCTTGTAGTGGCGATGATGTGGTATGTCCGTGTCATCCTTCTAGAGACTGAGAGACAGACCCAATTTGGAGGGGCATTGATCTTCATCATCAAAGTGAACCAGAGTGAAGGCTAGGCTTAGGTGATATTTAGACATTTGTCTTTTAATGCTATCTTTGAATGGTATTGAATTAAATATGTATTGTAAGAGGACGAAATTGGCAATGGCACAAACCTTTTGACTGAAGTCAGCAATTTGGACTCACTGGCGATGCATTAACAGAAGGGGCAATTTGAAACCAACAATCAAACCACAAGGGAAGTTAATGCCATTTTGAAAGCCTGGAGGGAGGTTTCTGAATTGTCAGAAACCTCTGCAGAGGTCTGTGTAATTTACCCTAAAATATAGTCTGAGTCTTCATGATGAAGGATATTCGCTCTTAAAAATAGAAGGTACAAGTCATGACTATATGAGTTAGTTTTCAAGTGGAGTGAAAATGCCCTCCTCCAATCCTAACGATTAGTAGTAGTAGCATAGAAATAGGGAAATAATTTGAAGAAATGATGCAGCACCTACTTGGTTGACCCAAAGTATGACATGGACTGAAAGGAGAACCAAAACCAATCTAAAGACTTTCTCAAACATCCTCAAAACATTCAAAGGAAATAAAGATTTATTATGAAAGCATCAAGAAGATGCCAAAAGAATACAAAAACCAACCCCTCAAACAGGGACCTAACCAACTAAGTCATCAACAAAGTGTAAAAAAACAAATGAATCACGACCTACTCTTCCCGACACCCAACTATACAAAACACTGCAAAATCGAGACTGTCACACCCCAAACCCGGGTATGACCGGCTGTGGCCCACGGGGCCTTAGCTCAAGGCACACGTAAGCCTAAACACGAAACCGTAATCAAATTGAACAACTAAACAAAAGTCCAATAATAAATAATCAAACTCAATCCAGTCATGCCACAATTATAAACGGCAAAACCAACGGTAACCAATACCATCCAAACTTATGGGATATAAATAGCCCACATATTAAAATAATCCTAAATGAACCCCAATAAAAATAAAAATAAATATGCACAAACTTGACATAACACTCTAAAACAAAATAAATAAATGTCCTAGAGGTCCATGCAATCGAGTCCCCACTATGTCACAAGTCCACTCTAAGTCCTTCTAACACCTGGAAATGGTAAACAACTAAGTCAGTTGATAGCTTAGTGAGTAGCAACATGGATAGTATATACAGTTTTGAAAACATG